TGCCACAGCTTGTCTACGCATAAACTTTGATAAAAAACAAGTATATTCTAAGCTTAATGCTAGAATCTGCTCGGTGAGGGTATTTTAATACACTGCACAGGAGATCTTACAGAGTTCTCAAAGCCAATGTGTGACATTTTACCTACTTGTGACATCCAGTTCATCCAGGGATGCTTTTTGTTCGGCTGCTGGCACCAGACACAGTGACGTAGAGGGAGTTCTTATTGAGTGGGTGTTTATGTGAGAAGGCCCACAAACTTTAGATTAAAACCATGTGCTTCACAAATCATTTGTAAGTTGTACCATAAAACTGTGAGTGGTGCTGTAGAGCAGTGTCTTGATGAGCAGCTTTGTATTTTGTGTCATGTATGTGTGCATTTTGAGGACACAAATACATGATGCAATAATAATTTGTTTTACCTAATTTATGTGATGTAATGAATAATTTCAGCAGATTGACTTCAATGCGCTCATTGATATAGCTCCTTGGTTTTCAAAATGCTCCATCACTTAGCAGAGCAGCAATTATTTAGATTTGAAATATAACAAAAAAAATCTCATTGCTTCCTGAATCCACCTTCCTATCCACCTAGTACATTCCTCACTTAAACTTTCTGTTCACCTCTGTTTCTGCCTCCTCTGCGGCCATAAATCCACAGTTACATAAACTGCCTTAAAGTGTTACATGAGACTCCTCCAAGTACAAAACAGTATGTTATAGAACCCTGGTTCATATGGTTCTGCTAAGTATGTGTGTATGGAGCACATTTCAACTGTTTTCACTTATGTGTTTGTGAGTGTGTATGTTGTGTGGCCTGTAACAGAGGAAAACTGACAGAAAGCAAATGGAGGCATATTGTGTTTTTTTTTCTGTTGTTTTATTGCGTCTGAAGAAGGGGTCTACTTGGCTGCACCACTGTTTACCCCTGAGATTCCTAAAGTGTATTGTGGACTCAAACACTTGACCTGCCCCTCCATCGGCATAGTGGTGAGAGTGAGTGAATTTTCATGTTTCGGTGAACTATCACTTTAAATCAATTGAAATGCAGTGTAGCTCTGGATTTGCCTTTCATTCCTACACATACACTCAGTGATATATATGCACACAAGCAACTGCTACTCTACTTTCACTCACCTGCAAGGCTGCAACCACAAACATGCAAACTCGCAAAACACAGCAGCGAATCCAGTGGGTGCAGGTGATTTGTGTAGGCTTCTTGTGGCCATAACTGTCAAGTAGACAAACACACTTGCAGCTTTAGAGCTAGAACTAGTTGGTAACTGCCATTGGATTATTATGTTATTCTATAACACCCTACCATGCAATTTTTTTTATTTTCAATTCACTTGAGATTCCTGGTCTAGTAGTAAAGAAGACAATGCTCGTGAGCCGAGTCATTAATAGTTTTTAATAATATCTTCTAACACTGTGCATATATAATCAAGTACGAGTGTGTGTAAAAATTGCTGCAGTGAATGCGGACTGGAGATCACTTACAAAAGATATAGAAAAACTATTCACTTTCAAACTTCCATTTCCAAATAATATGCCAGAGTGGAGGTTAGGATCTATTGATGTGAGAAGTATATTCAAAGATCTAGGATCTTTGTGATTAACTGAGTCCAGTATTACACAGATCTACCCGATGGAATAACTTTCCCATTACAAATACTCTTCACTCTAGTTTAGCTGACATGTATGTGTGTGGTATGATATAATATTTACCTTTCTATGTAGAGCCTTTTTTAATGAAAAAATTCTGTTAAATTCTATATGTTGGGAAAATCACAGCACTGTCCTTTCTATTGCACTCACTCTCACTCACTGTATTATCCAGAGCAGCAGCAGCAGCAGTAGCAGTGTATCAGTGTATTTTCTTCATTAATGACATCACTGCTGTGGCGACCAAACAATCTGTCTTTCTTCACCTCCACCTCACTAACAGACACCTCGATGTCTGTGTCAGAAAATTGCTAATCGTATTTTCATCGCTTGATGCTATGATTCACCATGGAAACGCATCGGTCAGCAGGATAAGTGAATATTCATGAGGTGCTCTGCATTGACCATTTATGGTTGAATGTGTAGGGGACGGGATATGAGGCAGATTCCAGATGGACTGTGATTTATAAATGGAAAATTGAGTTCGAGTGTGTACCTGTACGGTTTTATAAATGTGATTTTTTTTTTGCGTACGCCATCTTCGACTTTCGTGAGCATGTACACTTTTAATATGAAACCTATACACTGTTGTATAAATGAGGCCCCTGGTATCTTTAGTTCCTAAAAGTGGATCATTATCTGCGGTTGATGATGATAATGTTGATTTCCAGTTATGTAATGTACTGATGTTGACACAGTCTTTGTCTGTACTTTATGAGTGTCAAAGTTCCCTATGGTAAAACATCTGCAGCCCTGCCAGCTGGGTTGCTTACATGGTAAAGTGTGGAAATGTACCCACATTTTATGTAGAAATTAACTTGCAGTTTCAAACATTGTGAACTATGGCACAGGACGCTATAGCTGTTTCACATTTACAGATGGAAACCAATGGTTGGTCAGTGAAAGCTTCATCTCAGAACCAGCTAGAGGATGTGTTAAGGGTTTAAACTGTAACTCTAAAAAGTAGTAGGTTCTAGCAATTCAAATTATTTCAACTCTGCAGTATTATGCTATCCATCCCAACTGGATGTTGAAAATAAATACGATATCAGTAAAGCAGTTTTGTTATCTTCACACAGGATCTGACCCAGAGATAAGGACAACCACAGAGAATAAAGCTGGAAAAAAGCAACAAAACGAGAAAATACCACGGTAACCATGTCACCAATGCTCAATCATCTCATTACCTCTCATCTAATATGTGTGTGTGTGTGTGTGTGTGTGTGTGTGTGTGTGTGTTGAGCTGTTACCATGAAATTTTACAGATTTGAGTAAACTGTTCAATACGTAGATCTAACACTTGCATGTGTTTCTGTGTGAGTGTGATTCTGCCTCAGGGTTGTCTGTGTAAAGTGTAAAGATGGTTTCATACAGCACTTTTGGCATCACTGTAAATATTAATTCTAATTAACAGCACATTCATATATTATGAATTCATATTTTGATGTGAAATCAATGAGCCATCATGTCAATACAGCACTACAATAAAAGCTTCAATGACGTATGTGTCATGGCTGCCACCACCTTCATTAGAGTCTCCACAGTCAATGATAAACTTGCAATTGTTGAACAATTATTTGTTTTAAAGTACTAATTTGTATGTGGATTTATATCTGGATTTATATCTGTAAAACTAGCTGAAAAACACATAACAAGATACTCCGAGAAAATCCACTGCTGCAGGATGTCAGATAAAGCTACCGCCCAAATTGCTAGAGGATGGTGCTTGTTTGTGTGTGTGTGTGTGTATCAAGTGGCAGTGCAGCCAACATGCCTAGTTTATAATACACACATGCAAACACATCACATTTAAAGTATTTTTGTGCACAAACATGAAAACAAAATTTGGACATGACACTAGTCTCCTAACTCAAAATGGCCTCTTGTGGTATTAATGCAGCTAATTTTAGACCAAGAAGACACTTCGGAATTATGTGAGCTCAGGGGACCGTTGGAACTGCTTAACACAAACAATAAAAGGTGGAGGAAGACTAACATACCTTATAAAATGTAGCTTGCACAAACTATTAAATGTCACAATTCTTAGAAATTTCAATCTGCTTCTGAGGATCCTGATGGAACATTTACATTTTGTCATAAAGCAGCAATGATAAGTATAACACACACCAACTCCTTTGGCTAAACTAAAAAAATCCCATCTGATCATCACTGCAAATTACAGTTTGTGTCCTTCAGTGATCTTTTACACATGGGTATTCACAGTAATTATAGTTAATAGATGTGCGACTATGATAATTCAGGTACAGAGACAATGACCTGTCATACGCTCTAAGCATGTTTGTTGGGTTGGAGGAGGGAGGCACTGCTGAAGAGGAGGAGAAACAGTCTCACAGCAAATGAAGAGCTATACTTCTAGAGAAATAGGTAGTGAAGGAGGTGGACTTTTGAAGGGAGACCTCAACCATTTGTAATCCTTGTTTCCTTTCCCCCCTATTTGGGTTAAATGGGGGCTGGCAAGCCTTTGTTTGAGACACGCAGGGAGTTGGGGATATGTATGAGGGTGACAGGGGGAGAGATGGGGGTGAGTGTGTGTGTGTCTCTGGAGGTGGGGGGGATGTCTCAAGCTAGACATTTCTCGAGAAAATTCCTCCAAGAAAAATCAATAAATAAAATAAAATGACCTGATCTCACCCCAATATTAAATATCTTTACTAAAACAAAATGTCTAAACTGACATTGAGACTATGAGAGTTACATTTTTGCAGCACATACCTCTGAGGCTTTCCCATCCCCACTGAGGGAGGGGGGCAGGTGGCAGCTGCGCTGCCCCTCTCCCTGCCTCTGATTCTCTGGCAAATAGAGCCAGCAGCTTCAGCCCACACTACTGCCTCTAACATTAGCAACACTTTGGGGGAAAAAAGCCATGTGGAGCTGCCCATCACATCCAGCTACATGCATATCATTCTCAGCCCCCATAATGATCAACCTCCCCTTCTCTATGCCTTCTCTCATCAGTCATTTCCTGCAGGGTGAAGGGGGGGTTGTGGTTGAAAACAGATCTGGCTGTATTTGCCAGGAAATGAAGCAGCTAGTCTTCTTCACACACCCTTGAGACCTAAAACTACATATGTGCACTAAGTCGATTCTTAAGTTCTCAGCAATTACAAGGTGACAAAAGAGTTCCCTCGCATTCACAGAGACTCATTCACCCGCTGTCTGACTATTCATCTAAAAGACAATCTCCCCTCTGCACAAATATGTGACTCACAGACAGGAGCTACCAGCTCTCCGTCATTCAGCTTTAACTTGCTGCACACTCTTCTGGAAGCAACCACTGGCTTCTAAAGCACACAAAGAGAAAATACAGGAAGCTTACCTCGCTTTGTAGCAATGTAGCTGCTCAGCAGTCCATCACCCAGCACTTTATCCCTAGACTAAGTTTGTGTCAGCAGCAGCTGCAGGACAAGCAACAGGCGAGGAAACAGAAGTGCACAAAAGAGAAACAAAGATGAGAGGAGAAGAAAGGGAGATTCAACAACACAGAAGGGGGGGGGGGACAAGAGCAATGAGTGAGTGACTGAGACAGAGCTAAAAGGGACACACAGAGACTCCTAGCTTCAGCAAGAGGTTTGTTAAAAGCCCACAAACTGACTAGCTCCTCTGCCTGCCTGCCCAGCTTGACGTCAGAGTGGTCACATGACCTCAGTCTAGTGCGGAGGGGAAATGAAAATGGAGGAGAGACAGACGGAGAGAAAGACTGAGAGACTGAGAAGCCTGCGTTGCCGTGGTAACAGGCATACTGCACCACAATGATTTCAATAGGTCATTTGACACACAGACGCGCACGCACACACATAGATTGTAACACGGACGAGCTGGTAAAAGCCAAGCTCCGTGCTGCACAGACAGACTGACCCAGACAAGATGAACAGAGTGAAGCAACTTGAGAGAAGAAAGAAGAAAATTAGAAACCGAGACAAAATGTTTCAGGTTTCCTATGTATTGTTTTCAAAGTTATCAGAAACACATGCAATCAAGAAGGAATGTACACCAGACAAGCTGCACTCTTGAACTCGTAATAAGCATGCTCCTTACACCAAGATTGCTTTAATAACAATCTATGACCTGTTTAAGCCGCAAGTATGGATCGATTTTATTGTATCTGTGCAGGATTTTAGCAGATTTGAGTCATTGATAAAAATCTTGGCTTTTGTTATTGGAAATTGACCTAAACTATATATGTCACCACTCTGATCCAAAGAATCCTTTCCTTCCTTGGATTCCAGTGATTAATTTAGCACATGACTAACAAAAGAACTATATCTACACAAAGCAGTATGGAGAAAATTAAATAAGGAACTAACTAAGTTTCATTAGTTTAGGTAAGAGGAAAACATTTTTTTATTTCACATATATATGTGTATAATACCGTGACATGGGTAACGATCAAACCTTAACACAGATATCTAGGTTTAACAGTATTACTAACAACTAAACAGCAATAACAATTAAATCAATGGTTACAATTAACACTGGGGTATTGTTATGTTTACAACGTATTGTCTCATTAGAAGAGTGGACGTTATGTTGTCACTAAGGCACATCAGTCTGACTCTTTGAGATGGCAGTGTCTGACAGAGACATGTCAGTAACTGCTGCCTTCATGCTGCTGCACATTCATTTCAATTTTCACAGTGAAGACAACCAAAACAATGAAGGGTGCCATGTCAGAAAACCTGAAGGTCTGTTTGAACTGTCCAATTGCTATTTGTCAAGTATTAAGTCATCAACTCTACTGATAACTTAAAAAAGAGATTGTTCCATGGGTTCTCAAATGTGAGACTGATCAGACTAAACTGGACTTGAATTAATTTTAAAGATTGGATAATCTGACAAAAAATACTTGCCTACAAAACATTTCTCACCATTTTCTGACCCTGTTTCAGTTTGGACAAATCGAGAAAATATTTTCAGATTAATCAATAATTCAAACAATTATCGGTCACAGCCACAGTAGTGTGTACTTAAAAGGAGCTCTATTCTGAGTATTCACAATTGTAACTTTTTTAAATGCTGGTGCATCACCTCTGCTCCACTTCAAAACTCAGAAATGTGCTGTTCATTGGATCACTTTATTAGTGTGTGTGTGTGTGGAGACTAGACAAAGACCAGTTTGAAGAGAAAAACTAATTCTAGGCCAACCAAAGACCCTCCTCATCCCTCCCTCCACCATGCTGTGAGTATGAACAGCTTTGGTCTGATTACATTCATTTGGATAGCATCTGCTGGCCAGTTGAATGGAGTGCTGTGGGGCCCAGAGCAGGGTGGGGTCGTGTGAAGGGTGGGGCTAAGGTCAGCCGAGTGAAAACCACCCCCCTCTGGACGACCGAGGGTAAGGGTATGTATGAATGACTCAGAGCCACATGGACAGGGACACAAGATAAAATGCCACATAGGCCAGAGAGAATCAGCAGAGGACTGGGAAAAGTAATTTAATGAAGCCTGCAGTCTGGATAAATATATTGAGTAAGGAAAGCAAAAGGCTCAGATGATGTAAGAAAGTGAAATAAAAGTCTGTGGGTTAATTGACAGAGGGATGAATTAAAGTTAGGTTAAAGCCTAAGATTAAATGGTGCTGGGATCCGTGGGCTGACTGGTGATGCCTTCATACATGGTTTTTCAGAATAAGCTTTAAAGAAGCATGTTAAAAAGCTAAACTGTATATACCAATTTGCCTCTGAAGGCAGACCCTGCTCCTCATAATGAAGGGAGGGGGAATGACAAAGGCAAATAATGTATTTGTATAGCAACATTCAGTTACTGCACTGCACGACATTTTCACCTCCCATTGATAGCTGAACCCATCATTTTGGAAATTGGGAACGACTTATTGATTTGTAGACCACCTTTAGTGAACAAGATTTGGAACGACCACCTTATGCGACTTTTTTAGTCTCTTTGAGAGGAGCAATTCTGTAGAAGCATTTTACCAGCTTCTCTTTGTGTGAGTGTGAGTGTGAGTGCGTGTGTGTGTGTTTATGTAGGGTGGGTTAAAAGGCGCTAGAGGGAATTCCTTCTCCAGAATGCTCAGGAAGCAACAGCATGAGAGGAAGTGAAAACAACTTCTCTTTCCAAGGCAAACCCTTCAGAAGTTGTTCCTTTGGAAAAGGAAACGCTCCCTGCGCTGTCAGTGTTCTCACAACTAAAGACCTCCAACAATATCTACAGCATGTAACTATATTCAGCTCATGAGTACAAAAAGATGGGTATGAAACATCAGGCTCAAACTCACACATTTATATTATATTAAATGAACCAAAACAAGCAGTTGTTTGTGTATATTTGTGGAAATGTATGTTTCAAATTGGAAGAGGTTTTGTAAGAGTTAATTGTTACGGCATTGTGAGAACTTGAAGCTGATCAGAGAGTTGCAATGTTAATGCAGTCGGTGGACTGGGGGTATTACAGATTATAAAATAGATTAGATAGATAAAACTGAATCCCATCACTTCCCCTCTCAACTGGATTATGATCAACCCGTCATCCTAATCCCATTTGCAATTGATGCAGATGCCAATAGTGAAATACTAACTTGTACCAAGAACTAACTGTACTTGAATCCCTACACTGGCCACTGGTCATGTATAGGATTGAGTGTCAGTGTTCTTTCTTTGTTTCTAAAGCTTAACATGTTCTGTAGCCCCACAACATCTCTGTCCTCTTACTATCCCTGCCTCCAACCTTTTGAACTGAAAACAATTGTTCCAAGTGTTCCTCCTCCGTAAAAAATGTTTAAGACCAAACTGAGGGCCAACATATTTTCTCAGGTTTAAGTGTCTTATTAAGCTCTCTTCTTCGCTTTTTATCCCTTTGTGCTAAATGTATTTAAAGTTCCTTACTTCTGTGTGCACCTATTATGGGACTGGGCAATAAAAAGATATCAATAATTATCTCTCTATAATTTCCATCAATAACAAAGGTTAAACATATATAACTATATTGCCTATTCATTGTGCAAGCATTCTCTTTATGTTATATTACTAACACTTGGCTGTTATATGTCTATTACTTATCAGCTGCTGGGGAGGGAAGGCCCAGAGATGTTAACACGACTGAGTGTTTTATGTAACAAACCAACTAATGCATACAAGGACCACAGACACAGAGATTCCTCAACAGGTTTGAGATGATGTAGAAGGTGATGTTGGTGTTTCACTTTACTTTAACTACATGTTCACATGGCTTGATGGAAACCAGTATATCCAGTGTTGTTATTTTAAAACAGACTTTTAAAAAACTTCACACTCACCTTAAATACTACAGTGATGATAGGAATGTGTAAATGTGAAGCCATGCGCTACCTTAGGAAACCTTTTTTTTTTTTTACAGAAGCTTCACTGTGTAACTCTATAAATCACTAATAAAGACAACCTCTGACAATACATACTCCTTTACCCTACAGCAGTAATACTCTATAGTCTCTTAGTAACAGCTGCTGTTCTAATACTTTTGCATGTAAAAATTAACAGGCTAATCTACCACAACCTTGACCTTTAATCACCAACATGTAATCAGTTCATCTTTCTGTCAAGTGAATTTTTGTACAAAATTTGATGACATTCTCTCAAGCTGATCTTAAGATATCAGGTTCAAGAAAAACACTGTGCCCTTGACCTTTGGCTCCCAAAATCAAGTTAGTTAATCCTTGACTCGAAGTGGAAGTTTGTGCCAAATGTGAAATCCTAACCCTAATCCCCTAAACCCTGACTGCTGGCACACCCATCTGTCATTACCTGGCCTGCCTGCCTGCACCCTGCCCATGGTCTCACTACACATGACTGGAGTCTTTAGCCGGGCAGGCATTCCCTGATTTAATCAAAATTATTGAATATTCAAAATAAAATTTAACATTTTATCAATCTGTAACAAATAAAGAGGTGCACAAAGATGTGAATCAACATTAGAAGTGGTATTAAAATAATGGTTGATAGGATATGACACAATGTGTTTTAAGCTAATGCGGTATTAAAACTGTGAATAAATGTAGTAAAAGTTAAATTAAGAGTGCATCTCCACATATATTTTTGAGATGCACTCTTTCTCACTCAGATATTGTATGAATTACATCTTTTGATCCAAATCAGGGAAGAGAACTTTTACTGCAGTCAAAAAAAGGTCTGCCCAGAGAGGAAAATCCTCTTCTCTCAGTAGAGCTTATGTTATCTTTAGTGACACACTGAGATAATACCATGAGGGGAAAAGATAACTTCTTTTGTTTACTGAAATGCTATGGTTTTACACCCTACCATAACCTGCTTTGGTACAGGAAGTGTTGCAAACATTTATGTTTGTCAAACATTCAACAGATAAATATTGAAGCTGTAGATAATTTTCACAGCCAATTCTGCTGTGAACCGTGCACGGTATGCAGAGCAAATCTGCAAGACCTCAATTC